ATATATTTTACCATTACCAAAAAAAAAAAAAAACTTGGCCTTTCTTTTTGGGTTTTTTTAATTAATTATTTCAATTAGTTTCAAGTATATACTAGATTGGTTAGACATCTATATTGTTCATAAAACAATCCCCCCAATTGCTCCCTCCCTCCCCTGACCCTCCACCTAGCCAATGTATTAATGCTAACCGCATTTCCTATGCTGTGTTCCCCATCCCTGCGGCCATCTAACAACTGCTAATTTGTACTTCTTTAACTCTTCACTCCATTCTGCCACCCTCCCTAACCTCCCTCTCCTCTGTCCATCACCAAATTGTACACCATATTTGTGTCTGTTTTTGATTAGTTCTTTTTGTTTTTTAGATTCTGCATATAAGTGAAATCATGTAGTAATTATCTTTCTCTGTCTGACATTGCACTCAGCCATAATAACCTCTAGGTCCATCCATGTCATTGCAAATGGTAGGGTTTCATTTCTTTTAGTGGCTGAGTAATATTCCATTGTATATATGAACTATAATTTCTTTATCCAATCATCTCTTGATAGGCATCTAGATTGCTTCTATATCTTGGCTATTATAAATTGTGCTGAATATTGGGGTACATATATCTTTATGAATTATTGTTTTGGTTTTCTTTGAATAAATACCCAGAAGTGCAATTACTGAGTCAAAAGGCATATCCATTTTTAATTGTTCGAAAAACCTCCAGACTGTTTTCCATAGCAGCTGTACCAATTTGCAATCCCACCACCAATGTGTGAGGGTTCCCTTTTCTCCGCATCCTCACCAATACTTGTTTTTTGATTTATTCATGATAGCCATTCTGACAGGTGTGTATTTTGGTACTTTTTTAATGAATTTTTCCACATCAGGAGCACATGTGCATTCTGTACCCTTTATATTGATAGCTGTGGGCTCTGCAAGTAGACAAAAGAGTTCATTTCTTTATATTTAGTGTATCATTAAAGTATGTGTTGTTTTATCAGGAATGACTCACCAAAATAGAACTATTTAATTCTTTCTGAATGACTTTTCACTTTGAAATTGAGGATTATGCCTTATTTCATAACAAGTGGCCAGTGTGAATGATTCTTGCAATGATGCATCATTTCCCCATCTCAAACAACAGACACTCATTTTTCAAAACACTGGACTTTCACTTCTTCTTTTGAATATACACCACTTATTAAATAGCCATCCCCATTGCTGCCCTGATAACCATTTATGATGGCAATATTATTGCTCTGGGTCAAGTTGCAAAATAGCCAAAGAAACACATTGGTCATCTTTCTCTCAAGTTCTAAAGCATTATGTTATCATGCTTCTAGCTAGGGCTCACTTTTTCTAGAAGAGGCCATAAAGGGAAAATGAATTTTTTATTTGTTTTTGTGGTTGGGATTTTTGGCATGGGCAGTTATAATGACCCATTGTGAATCACCATAATAGCACATAACACATGGAAAATAATTGCTTGAGCTGGCAGGGATATTTTCATGTTTGGCAGCTACTTGAAGGTGCCATGGGGGACATTTGTGGAACAATCAGTTTCTCTTTTGTAATAGTGAAATATGTAAGAGGGTGGGTTTTTTTTATGTTAAATTCTAGATTTATTTTAATTTGGTCCCTCCATCAGTGCGATTGCAAAAAGTGGCTGCTAACCACATTCTCAGGTTTTCATATTATTGAGTCTATCCTTTTTAGCTATTATATTTAAGTAATTCCATACAAGGCTCAATAATGAGTGCAATCTTATACATTGCTAAGAGGACTTTTGGAATGTGGAGAATATCTTTACCATCTAAAGACATGGACTTGGATGTGCATGAATCTGATGTGCAAATGTTATATTATTTTTTATCAACATTTCTCTAATTACTAGTGAGACTGAACATCTTTTCATCTTTGTGGTGGCATATAAATTTATTTTTCTATGAATTTATGTGTCTATTTTCCTGTAACTACCTCTTTACAACCTTAGCCCATTTTTATCAAGTCGGTTGCATTGTTTTCTATTCACTTTTAAGTCCACTTTAAATATTATGGATGTGAACGCTTTTTCTTATATTGTATAGTGTTACAAATATGTTCCCTACTCAAAGACAATATTTTTTTAACTTCATGTCTTTTGTTGAATGAAAGTTTTAAAGTTTTATGCAGTTCTACTTGTCAAACTTTTTTTTAATGGCTTTTAAGTTCATTTCTTTCTCTACCATTTTCCTTTGCATTTCTTTTTTTTTTTTTTTTTTTTTTGCCTTCCATAGGTTTTATAGGTTTTTTTCATAAAATTCTGGTAAATTTCTGTTTTAATTTTTTCACATAGAAATTGAGATTACAAAATATATTCTTCTATATCATTGTAGACATCTTTAAATTTGAAAATATTTTTTATTTTTAATCCTCATTAAAAGTAGGAATCCATTTTTCCCTCGAATGGATGCACCTCATCTAACACCATTAGTAAATAATTAATCACTTCTTTGCTTTGAACTGCCATCTTTGCAATTCAAATACAAATACATACCCAGTTCTATTTCTGGAATTCAAATACATTCAAATACATACCCAGTTCTATTTCTGGAATCTTTATTTTATTTCACTGATTTGTCTATTCTCTCACTAACACCACACTGTTTTCATTATGGTAGCTATGAAGTATATTTGAGACCTGATAGGACATTTCTCTCTTTTTCATTTATTTTTATTTTCTGGCTGTTCTTAGAGCCCCTGCTCTTACTCATCTTCTATCTTTAATTTTCATGTGAATCTCAAATCTATCTAAAGTCCAATGATATGTATTTTGGGGGTAAAAAGTATACAAAAATTATCTAACCTTTAATTGAAAGTTTAATTTAGCTTTATATACATTTCTAAATATAGGTAGGATTTTATAATTCTTTATTTCCTCCCTATTGTCTCAATGTAACATTCTTTCTTTAAAGGTATTTTATCTTCCATTCATGGCAATCTGATTTATGTCTCTTCTTGATAAAATAAAATTCCCTATCAAATGCAAACAATATCTTAATTAAAATATCTAATGATAATCCTGACTTTGTCTTCCTTCACCCCCAGTGATACTTAATTCAGTCCTATCACTTGCTGAAATTATTGCAATATTGCAAGTACCTTGACTGGTTTTCCTTCTCTAGTTTTGTCCACTATAATCTACTCTCTAAACTCCCTTTATAAAGAAATCTGGTTATTTTGAGGCTGCATATAATTTTTATAACAGCATTATTGAGATATAATGAACATATACAATGTACTCATTTAAAATGTACAATTCAATGGCTTTTTGTATTATTCACAGAGCTGTGCAGTCATAACCACATCAATTTTAGAACATTTTTTAGCACCCCAAAGAGAAGCTCCATACATTTTGGTTATCACCCCCCAGTCTTGACATCTTCCTTCTCCTTTACTGCCCTATCCCAGCTCTAGGCAACCACTAATCTACTTTCCGTCTTTATAGATTTGCATATTCTGGACATATAAGTGGAATTATATAATCTATAATCTTTCGTGAATGGCTCCTTTCACTTAGCATGATGTTCTCAAAGGTCATCCATGCTGTAGCATGTTATCAGTATCTCATTCCTTTTTATTGCCAAATAATATTACATTGCATGGATATACCACATTTTACTTACTATGCATTTGTTGCTAGACATTTAGATTGTTTCTACCTTTTGGCGTTTATAAATAATGCTGCTACAGACCTCATATAAACTTTTTGAATTTGTTACATTCCAATAAAAATTCTGTGGAAATTTTTATTACAATTAATTGCATTAAATGTATAGATTAATTTAGGAAATTTTTAGTTTTTATTACAATATTATTTCCATCTAGGAAAATTACTTTCTTTTATAGTTATTTAGGCCTTGTTTATTTCCTGCCACAAAGTTATTTAGTTCTCTTCATAAAATTCTGGTGCATTTCTTTTTGTATTTATTTCTACTTATTTTATAATGTTTTGCTATTTTGAATGGGATTTTCAAATTAAAATTTCTATTTGGTGATGGCACAGAAAAAAAATGAGCACAAAGGAAAAGCTTAGAAATTATACAGGACAGAATTCTAGGGCAGGGCAGTCACAGCTATTATCTTCCTCCCCAGGATGCCTAGAAAAATGAGAATGGGAAAATTATTTTATGGATTGAGAGAATTTCAATTGCTCCCTAATGTCATCAGACCTTGATGATTTCCTGTCAAAAGTTTTCTTCTGAGACATCGCGAGAGGAGGTTAGCAATCATAGTAGGGCATTTATGTTATTTGCCCCAGCATTGAGGGTGCCACATCAATGATAGAACTGCCACATCTTATTACTGCCTATATTTTAGAATGTGACTAAATGCATCCCTTCCATTGTTCTCTTCCAGAATTTCCAATGAACACTCCCCCAAACTCCAGATTCGTAGTCATAGTTACCTGAGGGCAGTCAGTGAAGTCTCCATCAACCGAAGCCTGGACAGCCTTGACCCTGCAGGCCTGCTCACATCACCAAAGTTCCGCTCCAGGAATGAGAGCTACATGAGAGCCATGAGCACCATCAGCCAGGTGAGTACTGTGGCTGTAGGCCATTAACTGCACAAGGGTTAGTGGATACTGAGAGGGCAGTCACTCCCCAAGAGACCACTGCTAGATTAAGTAGGTGGTCTGATCTGAGAGCTACTAGCATTCTGTCCCAGGTAGCATCTAATATCAACAGTATACCAGCAGGGCAGGAGTCCTCTGCAGATGGATAAAGCACTTTGGGAGACTCCTTGGAAATTCATTAGTCAACACCAGCAAATTTGTCAATAAGAAGTTAATGGATGAAACTTTAGTGTAAAAATGCTTGAAGGATAGATGGACAGGGTGGACATCACTGGCAAAACAAAGGCAGCAACTAATCATAAAAGAACAAGTATGAAGCAGGTCACCAAGACAGGCACCCAAGCACAGAAACGAGATAAAATCGATTTACCTCAACTGGGTCCTAGGTGAATGTTGTTTCTTAGTAATGAGGCAGAAGCCTACTTCTAAGAACTGGTACTCAGGACTGGGGATGAAGATTCAATAAAAGTGACTTATTCAGCTAATGCTTTCTGAGTCTCTCCCATCGAAGGTCTCAGAGAGTGTGGGGAGGGGCATACTGCCTAAGCTCAGAGGCAGTGAGAACCTGGGACTCTTGGAGGACCTGACCCTGCAGCTCTCAGGGACCACCAGAAAAGCAGAAGTGCTTCAGAAGCTTCCCATGGGAGAATAAAAAGAAGGTATTTTTTTAATGATGTTTAGGAACTCAATTTAAATTTATATCACAATTTAAAAAATAAGTACTATTAATTCAGCTAATATTTATTGCAGAAAGCACTAGGCCAGATTACGCAAGTTATTCAGTGATGAATAATACATAACTCCTGCCCCTCAAAAGCTTTCAGTCTAATGGAAAGCGTATAAAAAACATAAAAGTGCTGTTATGAACATTATTTACTTGCACACCACAAAAACACTCTGAGGTAAGCACGGCAAGAATTAACAATAATATTTACCTTTACTGGGTCAGACTGTGCCAACTGCTTTATATTTTTAAAATATAAGTCCTTATAAACACCCTGCACAATATGTAAGTACCCAGATGTTAAATGAGATTATCTTTGTGGTCATGAAGTTGTCGAGAAGATTCTGAAGCTAAGGAGAAAAAATATTAATTACTCAGATTCTAAAGAGAGAGCTTCTAGGCATGGAGTCTAGGAATCTGCATTTTTAACAAATAGTCCAAGTAATTCTAATAAAGTAGTATTTTATCTTATCTTTGAAAAATGCTAGCCTAAAACATATACAAGGAATAGCAAATGCTCTAGTTCCGTTGGAGCTTAGGAGACTTGTATAGGCAAAAATGGGAAATCTATTCTAAATTTTGTTCTAGAGACATTTTTATACAAATAGTCTTGTGTGCTAGGCCCAGTGGAATGGACTTTATTCATTAGGAATGGGATTGATTAAAGATTAATTAAAACTTCAACTTTTAAGCAAGCAAGAGATATGATAGGAACTTTGATGCAGGATAATTAATCTGGCAGAAAAATATAGGAAATGTTGGAGACAATGAGAAGCTAGAGACAGAGAAGCTAGTTTGAAAACATTGTGATTATCAAGGTGAATTAATGCTACTGGTGGTTCTGTAGCCGATGGTGGTGGTTGTAGGGGTGTGAGTGGGGGTGATGGTGGTGATGGTGGTGGAGATGATGGTGAAGGTGGAGATGGTGGGAGTAGTAGTGGAGACATGATGATGGAGATGATGGAGATGGTGATAATGGTGATGGTGATGGTGGTGATGGTGGTATAGTATAGTGATGGTACAGTGTGATAGTGGTATACATAAAACAAAGGATAAATTCGAGCAAAAAATGATGAAATCACAGGCTAAGCACTGAAGCGTCTTTGATTTGTGAGAGTGAGACCCTAAAATAGGACTACTGCTCTCACTTTGTCCCTGCCATTAAAATAGAGCTTCCTGCTTTTCATGGATTTTTGAAGAGCAAAGGTAGGGACCACAATAAAGTTCCAAGAGCAGGGCAGGGTGGGAATCAAGGAAAGCTGGCATGTGGAATTTCAACACTTAGTCACTGCATTTTTTTTTTTTACCTATTTGTGCTAGCTAATCCTGTTCAGTGATACTCACAAACCCAACTCTCAGAGAAATATTTGGTGCCTCATTTTGTGAAATTTGAGCTTATTTTGTCTTTACTTTTTTTTTTTTTAACAATGAACAATATAATATTTAAGCTTACCTTCATTTTGGACAGCCTCATGGTCACACAGTCTTCTGGAATTCTAAAATCATCTGTAAGTCCAGCTGTCATATAAACAGAATACATTTGGGAGTAACAATTTTTTGTTGGAAAAATGTTTACAAATATTCAGTGCTTTTAGAATTTTACATGTTTAAAACAGAACATGTCACTTCCCCCATCAGGACATTGCACCTACGTGGCTACCTGCTTTTAGTCCCTATGTCACAGGTATGACCTTCCTTGAGACAATATCACTTTCTAATGACAGTTTAATAAGATTTCAATAAATCACCAAAGAAGCACATGTGGGCCTTGATACTATGGCAGGTCAAGCTCTGCAATTCAATGGTATAATCATTTTGCCTTAAGTAAAATACAGAAAGAATAGCCATCCTAAATGGATTCCTGATGATACATCATTTTTCTAGTTCCATATTCAATTTTCAGGTAACATAATATCTTTAATGATTATTTCAAACTTTCAACCGCAGTCCCAACATTGTCATTATTCAAAAGAGAGTAGTTTCTTTTTCAAAGCAATACTACTATACACCCTAGACTTTTCAAAAGTGGTTGGCTTTTATGCTATTGGCAATATTCTCTTATAGATCACTAGTAGCAGCTCTAATAGTATAGAATTTAAGTGCATTATATCCCATTTCGTTTTAAAACCTGATGTGTATATTATTTGTAAAAATCTCCTAGAAAGATTAAAGTAAAATATGGTAAGCTAAGAAATTGGTCTAAAATAACTAAGTTGTTTCTGACATTCATACCTCACAGAAATAAAATATCCCTAAAAACAGACTTTGCTTGAGAGAAAAATTGAACATCTTTTCATATGGTTATTCCTTTTCTATATTTTTACTATGTATATAGCTAATTTTAAAAATGGAGGGGTTTTAGAGAAAATCTTGAGAAGAAAAAATTTTAGAAAGTCACATATTTTTAAAAAATATTTGGTAAAATAATTGTCACCCCCAAATTAACTTAATTTATGTCTTAATTTATTTCAAGTTCGAATCTTAAATATCTTCTGGAAAGGTAAACTAGAAGCCTGCAAACATATTTTGTCTGTCAACATGTTGAATGCTCATATTTTAAAATTAAATGTAATTAGGCAATTCTTGTGCTTAGTGGTAATAACAGCAGTTTAGCTGTGTTTTTTAACCTAGACCATTCCTTCATTTTATGTATACAAAGAAATGGAAGCCCCGATGAATTGTCTATGGCACACAGCTAGTCAGTGATAGAATCTGAAAAACCCAAGTATTCTGACTCTAACTGGTAAGTTTCTTCAATGCTTGGTAGTATTGGACATTGGCAGCAATAATATTGCTAATAATAGTAGTCATAATAATGGAAATTATAACAATGAAATAGTTGCAATGTATTGCTTATCAGATATATGCTAGAAGCTTTGCATAGTATGTCATTAATTTCATATCAACTGTAAGAAAGATCGTTTTTTAATTTTTGAACTCAATCTCAGAGAGTTGGAGTTATTTGTCTCATTCTTCCCACTATACTATCTCATAAAATCATATCCACTATTTGTGGAGTGCCTACCATATGCCTGGAAATACAGTATGCATTTGTATATATTATTTTATTTTATCCTTAAAGCATCCCTATGGGGTAGATATTTTAACCACTTTACAATTGAGGAAAGTGAGGGTCGAAGAATTCAAGAAAATTGTCCATGATATAGTAGAAAGAACACTAAACTACTCCTCCTTCTCAATATAAATTCAAGTGAATTTAAAATCTAAGCAATAACACAAAGTAACAAAAAATATTAAAACAAAATTTAGGAGAATATGTGTATAATATTGTGGTGAAAATTATAACTTTTCATAAAACAAGAATTCCAGAAAACATAAAAGATTAACATCTATTCTAACTAAAAATTAAGTATCGCTATGTGTCAAAGACATCATAAAATTAACATACAATAGATGGCGAGAATATTTAAGCACATCGAGAAAAAAAAGTTAATGTTCTGGTTGCCTAAAATGTTCCTACAAATTTGTATGAAAAGATAGACAATCCAAAAGAATTTGAGGCAAAGCTCATGAACTAGAGAAAAAGATATACAAGGCCAATAAGTATAGGAAAAGGGGCTCGTATACTCTAGGAAGCTCATAAAGGGAAATCAAAACAGCAGAATATAACTTTTGATCTATCAGAGTGGCAAAAATTGCTTATATCCAGTTCTGGTGACCATATTGAGAAAAAAAAACTCTAGCTTACTTGTTGTTTGGAATGAATTGCTACAATTGTTTTAGAAAATAAGTTGGTAAAATCCAGAAAAAGGTAAATATTTGTTGGCATAAGAATCCCACTTTTGGAACTCTCTAATACAGAAATAAAAGCAGTATGTAAAGATAAATGTACAAGAACGTTTATCAAAGCATGGTCTCCAAGGACATCCTGAATCCTCATCAACAAAGGAGTGGTTAAATAAATATGGTATAATCATACTATACAGTATTATGGTAGTAGTAACTTAGTGTCCGAATCTCCCTGAGTCTCTATTCACGGACAACATTTATAACAAAATGAGGTGACAAGATATCCTTATGATCTCAAATTATGAGTAGATGGGAACAAACCACCAGTAGCCATAAGCTTGCATTATACCTACATCTGTGTAGGAGAATATACGGGTAGACAATGATTTTCATGATGATCTGAGCATAGCAGAACAAAACATACAGGAGATACTTATTGGAAACTTTGGCGGGAGGAGCTATTTGAGAAGAGCAGCTGAAACTGGGA